CCCCAAAACCCCAAAACCCCAAAACCCCAAAACCCCAGACGTTCAAGGAAATATTGAAATTTACTCTCTTATTCCTATAAGCAACATGTTTTCAGGTGATTCTATCTTGGAACAGTATTGTTTGAGGGAAACCTTTAGGTTACACTTCTTTTTAAGGATCATAGCTCTGCCGAGTTCGAGAATTCTTTTGGCTTTATAACCTGTAACTGTCTTTCTGAGGGAATTTTTACTGATGCTATCATCTTCCGCTGCTTTATCAATTCTGTATGCTCCACTGACTGCCCATGAGGTTGTTTTGAACAACCAACTCTTTTCGTAATCCTTTTTAAATCCTAGTTCATTCAGGTAATCAATGTTGACGTAGGTCCTCTCGTCACATCTTTGGTGACAGCAGGTTGCAATTATTACTCCATAAGTTAGAGGGGACTGAGTTAAGGAATGGATGGCAAGATCTGTGGCACCTCCACACAAATGTTTGGCAATCCCAACAATCTTTATATTAGGATCTACCAAGTATTTTGAGAATAGTTTACCATCATCTGGCTCAGTATTTGGTTCCTTTACTTCTTCAGAAGCTTCCAACTCTTTGGTTGGTTCCTTTTCACTCTTTTTGAGTGAGTGCTCTTGATGGATGTGAGAAATATCAAAATGTGAGATATCAACTCTAATCCTTTTATGATTATTATGCTCTTTATAGTGTCTATCTGCTAGATATCTAATCTTTTCCCTCTCTATTAAGTAAAACTCAAAATTATTTTCCTCATGGTTCTAAATCATTATATTTAACCAAGTACCTTCTTTTCTTCTTCAGAGAGCTTTGAATCAAGCCTTTCATGCAAGTAGTGCGATAAGAGGCCTCTTCCAGCTCCGTATTCCAGGTACTTTATATCTCTGTGCTTTAAAAGTCCATAATTATCCATCATATCGACAATCTTGTTATGCTGGAGGGTATGTTTGGTCGTTTTGGTCAGCTCCAATTTTTCCTGTTTCTTCTCCTCCTCCTTTGGTTCCTTTGGCTCCTGCGATTCTTTAATCTCTTCTATATCAACTACTCCTAATGCTGCTAATTTCTCTTCTTCTGTCTGGTCAGAATCCACCATTTGGATGATTTGGTCTATGAAATTATTGATTTCGTTGTTCAAAATCCAAAATTCTTAAAGAATTGGAGGATTGGGGAACTAAGAGAGTAGATTTGGGACCTACCTTTGACAGTTTGCCAGACTTCGTCGATTCTTATGTACCAAGCGTCAAGTTCAGCCTGGCTGAAGGTCTTCAGTCTTTTGGGCTCCTCTAGAACTGGTTAAGAAAGGGTCTTACCGACGGATTTAAGGTCAAACAAAGGGTTAACAACATTAATATCCTTTTTGTACCATTCTGATTGCTCTAGCTTAGCGTTGTCCTTAGTCTTGTTGCATTTCTTCACATGCTTTTCAAGTTTTTCCTTCTTGACCGAGTGGCTGGGGTCTACTGGACAGAGAACGAACTCGTCAGAGTCGAGGTAAGCGTGGAAGTTACAGTATTTGGTGTTCTTGCTCTGGACAGCGAAGAGTCAACGAACTTTGTTCTTGTATTTAGTGAACTCACACTGTTTCCCTTCAATTCCTCCTTTTAGTTTCTCCATTGTTAAATTATCCAATATAAACCCTCCTTTTTGGGGTTTTGGGGTTTTGGGGTTTTGGGGTTTTGGGGTTTTGGGGTTTTGGGG